TGATCTGAACCCCATAGAGAATCTATGGGGCATTTTCAAGAGAAAGATGAGGGACATGAGACCGAACAATGCAGTGGAGCTGAAAGCCGCTATTGAAGCATCCTGGATTTCCATAACACCTCAGCAGTGCCACAGGTTGATAGCATCCATGCCACGCCGCATTGCGGCAGTCATTGCTGCAAAAGGGGCCCAAACCAAGTACTGAGTACATATGCATGCTTATACTTTGCAGAGGTCCGATATTGTTCTATTTCCAATCCTTGTGTTATTGATAAGCCCATGTCCAGGATCCGTCTGTGTGTGGTGGCTCTTGATGCACTAACTCCAGCCTCAGAAGCCCATGTCCAGGATCCGTCTGTGTGTGGTGGCTCTTGATGCACTAACTCCAGCCTCAGTGAGATTGTGAATTTGGGGTTTTCATAAGCTGTACGCCATAATCATCACAATTATACCAAAGTAAGGCTTGACATACCTTGCTTTGCATGTAATGCGTCTATCTCATATATTAGTTTCACCTTTTGAGTTGCCTTACTGAAATAAATGAACATTTGCACGGTATTCTAATTTTTCGAGTTTCACCTGTATAAGCCCTTCTTTTTCATGAATAGAAAGTACCGGTCAGTGCACAGGATGAAGCAACAGCATTTGAGTTTATATCAGTTTCACTCTGCCCTCTTATCCACTTTAATGTGCTTTCCATTTGGACTTAACAGTCATCTGCTTGGGAATTGTCTCAGTACTTCAGTATTGTGGGTGTCAACTAATACATGTGGACATGATCTCATGATGATAGACTTTATAGTCTCATCTTCCTGGGTAACATGTTGCATACATATTCTTTGGACACGTCTGGCTAGGCCAGTGCAATGGGAACACAGTTACTATAGCAACTAGAATCTGAAAGACCACCCCATTCCATACTGACAGAAGATAGGCTATAGGCAGGAGTGTAGCTGAAAAATTCTTTTGGGCTGTCATTGTCCAGATATCCACATAACACCTGACTTAGTCTTATTGCCCTTCCACCTTAAGCTAAAGGGAAAGAAGATGACAGAACCTGGCATAGGCTAAAATCATATCTGCAATAATCTATCCAAGGGCTAGATTTTCAGCTGATGACTGGAAATCAGCTCCATCTTTACAATGGCTACTATTATGGCTGGGTGAGTGATCAATTCTTGTCCTACCAAGTGAAGAAGGCTGGAATATACATATATAGCTGTTAAGAATCTTGGGTCAGTTAAGGCAGTGTCAAAAGTAGCTGTAAAGATCATACTTATATATACTGTTCCTCCAATATGTTGGACTATGACTGGGGAGATACAGGTTCAAGTCCTTCCTTAGTTGTGGAAAACTCCCTGGGTGACTTTAGGTCAGCCAGTCTTTCAGGGTTATTGCGGGGAAAAGGAGGATGAGGAAACTATACATATGCTGCCTTAAGCTCCTGAATAAAAGGTGGGATATTAAACTAAACAACAACAATAGCATCTTCTGAGGTCTCTGCTCCTCGGCCTGGCAGTTCCACCCCTGAGATGTGATCTATACTGAGATACCCTCAAATCCTAAAACCTTGCCCTGAAAAATGTTTGATCATTGCTTACCACTGAGAATTTTTTGAAATCTAATTACCATTCTGAGATCTTTAGTGTTGATAGAAAGTACTGATTTTTTTTTAAATGGGTGCATTTATATCCTGCTTTTTTTTTCCATTATGGAACTCAAGGCTATGTATGCAGCGTCCCAAAGCAGTTCACCAAAGTATTAACCAAACCTAGATCTGCTTAGCTGTTGCATAAATCAAGGTGTTTTTTCATTTAGCATTAGCTTTAGAATTAGGAATAGAAATAAGTAATATTTGTTTTCCTATACTTAATCAATCAACATATTAAAATATGTTAAAATACAAAATATATTAAAACTGGCAAATATCAATAGGGAATTGTGCTCTGATGGTAGATGAAAGCTAGGATTTTCTGCTCCTCTGATCACAATTCTGCCACTGACTCCTGATGTGGCCTCCAAAAGTGCTGAATTACAGCTCAGTCAGAATGGCCTAGGAAGACAGATTGGGGAAGGCTGTACTACTCATTGGTAGAGGTGAGAGTCAGATGTGTTGAAACTTTATCAGGGCTGTTAACAGGAACCAGTGCTTATAGGAATAAGTGGTAAATGTCAAATGGGGGACCTTTCTCTCATTGGCTTGTTTTTGTGTCCAGGTTAACATTAGATATGAAAAAGGTTCAGAGCCACTCCCTTTTTGTGATTGCCTAAGTAATAGCCTTGAATCCGCAGGTATTTTTACATGTTCCAGACAGATATCTGGGATGTACAAGAAGACAAGATTGGAGCTCCTGCATTCAGCCTTAACTTAACTTCAGATTCACCTTAACATTCCTGAAACAGAAAAGCCACTGAAATGTAGATTCTTCTAATTTCTTGCCCTTTTTTTTGGCAGGCAGTATGATTCCGGTGGCTGAATTCAAGCATTTCACAGACCAGCAGCCTGCTTTTAAGGTTCTCAAGCCATGGTGGGATGTGTTAGCTGAGTACATCACCATAGCCATGCTGATGATAGGTGTTTTTGGCTGTACTCTGCAAGTGAGTGAGTATGGAAGCAGACTATACAATTCCAGAATAAGATCATAGAGTTACTGACTGAAATTACAGAAAAGGATATTTATGGCAGAAAGGGCTTTGGAAATTGATTACATGCACTGGGAGGGTCTAAGGATCTGATGCTGGGAATGGTCAATTTTTTCAGCCTGGGGGGATTAGAAATCATATGAAAACATGTATGAGCAATCTTTTCTTTCCCAATGACTTCATATATTACAGCAGGATCAGAGGGCTGCATGCATGTTCATACACATTCTCATTAATTATTTACATGTACATATCAAACATACCTACTTCCTCTTCTTTCCTCTCAAGATCTTGAACAAAACAAACAAATGGGTCATAGAACAAATGAGTTCTCAGTCATTCTTCTCAGCCAAGTCACACCTTCTCAGTCACACCTTCTCAGTCAAGACTCAAATGACCAGGATCAAATTATCATATTTTGGACACACTATGAAAAGACCTAGCTCTCTTTGAGAAGTCTATAACGGTGAGAAAGGTGAAAGAAAAGAGAAGAAGGATGACCAGCAGTAACATGAATGGACTCTCTGACAGTGGCAATGGGTGCACTGTTGGAAAACCTGAAGACTGGGGACAGATTATTCTGGAGAGATCCCATTGTTAAGAGTTAACACCAACTTGATGGCACATAATCAGTCACTTCCTTTCTGATAGATGTGTCACTTGTATGAAAATCAGAGATGGTGTAGGTAGGATATACTGGACAAATTCAACACTATAGAAAATATGTGAGAGCTGGTGCAGTAAAAAGCCATTTAGAGAAACAGCATCATATGCAACAGAAGCAATGAAGGGGGTTTTATGTCTCTCTATCATATATGTACTCAACCCATGTAGTTGACATTCTTTGCAGAAGCCCATTGGAAAGAAGCCCAACAAAGGATTTGGGGGCCTAATAATATGTTTCTAGTATCCACCAGTTCACAATTAATTATTAAAACACTGGTCCACTGCTGACATAAATAACAAGTGCAGGCCATAGAGTTATGCATGTTGATTTGCTATACAGAGAGTTCCAATTCCAGATTACTGCAGATCCATCCTATCCCACTATAAAGAATAGGAAACCTAATAATACATATTAGGCCTGTTTGGGCTACACATCCACAAGGATACAATAACTACTGTGACAGTGTTTCAGGGCAAATAACAGTTGGGGAAATGCCCATCGCTAAAGGGCTAGACTGGCTTATTCTCTATTGTGCTACTTTTCTATTTGTAGGAATACACACACACACACACACACACACATAAAATAAATGAAATTCTACCTTTTGCACCCTGAGATGGCAAAGTCAGGTCAACTCCTTTGGGAATCTACCAGATCTTTTTTATCTGATGTAAACTGTTGTATCATATTGGACTCTGATAAATCATGTTTGTTTTTCTTTTCCTCATCTCTATGTTGTGGCAGGTGATACATGACAAGATTATCTGCCTTCCCAATCATGTTCCCAGCGGTACAGCTTTTACTGATTTAACTTGTGAAGATTTCACCAAGAAGAGAATCAATACCTCTGAACCAATCAAGTCTTCTGTCCACCGGGAAATGAGTGGATTACAGAACAACCTAGACCTCCAACAGTACAGCTACATCAATCAGATGTGCTATGAGACAGCCCTTCACTGGTATGCCAAGTACTTTCCTTATCTTGTTGTTATCCACACACTCATCTTCATGGTGTGTGCCTCTTTTTGGTTCAAATTTCCTGGTACCAGTTCCAAGATTGAACATTTTATCTCCATTATGAGCAAGTGCTTTGACTCACCCTGGACTACTCGAACCATCTCAGAAGTTTCTGAGGAAGAGAATACAAGCTCAGGAAAGGCGAATCAGAGTAGGAAAAGTAATGTTCCCAGTGAACTGATTGAACTTTCTCCTTCAGGAGGATCAGTTACAAGAAAGAAAGTTGCGGAGTCCCCCTCCACTAGCATGTTGGGCAAAAAGGAAGGTGAGGAAGCCAAGGCTCTGTTTGAAAAGGTGAAAAAGTTCCGGCTCCATGTAGAAAAAGGAGACATCCTTTACACAATGTACATTCGCCAAACCGTTCTCAAAGTTTGCAAATTTCTAATTATTATTATCTACAATGCAGTCCTGGTTCACAATATTAAGTTCATAGTGCCCTGTAGTGTCAAGATGGAGGACATGACAGGCTATGACCATTTCTGCTGCAATCACACCAAAGCCTATCTCTTCTCTAAGCTGGCTATCTGCTACCTCTGTTTCCTTGGTGTATACGGTATGACCTGCCTTTATACTCTTTACTGGCTCTTTCACCGGCCACTCAAAGAGTACTCATTTCGCTTTGCTCGTGAGGACACTGGCATCAAGGACATCCCTGATGTTAAGAATGACTTTGCTTTCATGCTCCATCTCATAGACCAGTATGATTCCCTTTACTCCAAGCGCTTTGCCGTATTCCTCTCTGAGGACAGTGAGTTCAAACTTAAACAGCTGAACCTCAATCATGAGTGGACAGTTGATAAACTGCGGCAGAAGCTGCAGATGAACCCTAGTGGGCACCTAGAACTCCATCTCTTCATGTTGCCTGGGTTGCCTGACACTACTTTTGAGCTGACTGAATTGGAAGCTCTAAAATTGGAATTGCTCCAAGATGTTACTTTTCCAGTCTCAGTAACTCAGTTGATCAATCTCCAAGAGCTAGCGCTGATCAACTGTCCTGCTAAGCTGTCCTTTACTTCCCTTAAATTCTTCCGTGAACAGCTGAAGGTGATGATTGTAAATTTTGATGATATAAAAGATATACCTGTGTGGATTTACAATTTGAGAGGTTTGGAAGAGTTGTACATTTCTGGATTTTTCAACCAGGAGATGGGCCGGACAGGAACTCTAGAAAGCCTACGTGAGCTAAAGAATTTGAAGGTCTTTACACTGCATAGCAATGTCTCAAAATTGCCACCCAGTATAGCTGATCTGGCCACTCACCTGCAAAAACTCAGGATCTATAATGATGGGACTAAGTTGGTGGCTCTCAACAATCTCAAGAAGCTCTTCTCTGTGCAAGAGGTAAAACTGATAAACTGTAACCTGGAACGTATCCCCCATGCTGTCTTTAGCCTTGTGAACTTGCAAGAGTTGGACTTGAAGAATAATAAGTTGGTTTCCATTGAGGAAGTCATCAGTTTCCAGCACTGCCGAAAGTTGATGTGTCTCAAACTTTGGTACAACCAGATTTTCACCATCCCTGAACATATCCGGAAACTCAAGACCTTAGAGCAGCTTGACCTCAGCCACAATTACATTGAAGTCCTCCCTTCCCAACTGTTCATGTGCACTAGGCTGCATTATTTGGATCTTTCTTACAATAACATCCAGATCATCCCTTCTGGGATGGGAGTTTTACAAAGCCTTCAATATTTTGCCGTTTCTCACAATTGCTTGGAGACATTGCCTAATGAAATGTACTTCTGCAAGAAACTCAAGGTTCTCAAAGTAGAACACAACAAACTCCGACGCCTCTCAGATCGCATAAGCTGGCTGACTTTGCTCTCCAGGGTAGAGCTGAAAGGGAACCAGCTTGAAGCCTTGCCCCTGGAGATTGGTCAGTGCCAATTCCTTAAACGTAGTGGTCTGGTGGTGGAGAGCAATCTTTATGAGACATTGCCTTTAGAAGTAAGGGTAAAAATGGAGGATGAATGACTGAGATGAAGGACAGTATAATTTCTCAGGTGTTGACTGTACAAGCACAGAACTGGAACACATAGGAATCTGGCTCCATTCATCCCAGATATTGTCCCAGTAGTCCCACCCTTTTTCCCCATGTCACCGTGGAATGGATGTGATAAGTCTAAGACTAGCAAATCTGTATCTCAGGATGAAATCAGGAGGGAAATGATAGCTCTAATCCTAAGAAGAGGTGGAAATTGGAAACCTCAGCAAACAGAAGTTGAAAGTGACATTTCAGTTTTGTTTTGTTTTTGTTTTTCTGAAAAACACCAGTTTTCAGAACAGATAAATAGGAGAAATTATTCATGAGAAAAAATAGCTGAACCAGATCAAAGCACCATTGTACTTAATTTTTTGTGTGTATGTGTATACATATTTTTTAAATGCTCTGAAGGTTTGCTAAACACTCTTGTTCAAAAGGATTCATTTGTCCACTCTTATGCCGCAGCTTCTAAATGCCATGTTTGATTTTATCACAAGGGATTCTGGGCAGTGTCTTGCCTATTTATTGCAATAGGTGAGAGTTATAGTCAGGGACTGGGAATCTTACATTACCAAAAGAGTGTAGCTCTCTTTATTCTGTTCTTTGTTAAAAGAATTGTGCCCTGAAATGTTGACAAACTAAACCACAAAGCATTTGCTTTGATCACTAAGGATTCAGCATATGGCATAACGTTTGATTTTTCTATGTCAGATTGGCTTGAAACCTATCCAACATTCTGCCCGTGGGAGCATCCTCACAGTGCAGTTCCACTCATGGAGGATGACTATACACAGTTTCCATACATAGCAAGTACTGGGAGATACCAGAGCAGTCCCTAAACTTCTTCTAAGTCTGTCAGATGACAAAGCTGTAGGAGATATACAACTTAACCTGTTGTACATCTCCTTAATGAGACTGTTTGCCCTCAGATGAATACCCATTCCATTCCCAATATTAAAGGAAGATTCAGCTTTCGATCCTACTAGCTTCTGCCTATAGAATGGGGGCCATGAAGTTGTCATGAATTCTTAAAGACCTTCACAAAGGACTCTTGAACAAGCTGTGTATTCATGAGATAAGAAGAATCCTGCTGATTCATCTGAAGAAGGCATTAGATCTCTGCCTTAAACTCCTGCCCTGGAGGTACCTCTGACATACTGTCTAGGCAGTGCCTTGCTTCTAATCAGAGCAAGCGGTACCCCATTGAGGTAGCATCAAGCAAATGCTTCAGTGGGAGTATGAATATATGTTATAGGTGGGAAGACTTCAAAAGACTTTTACATGAGAAACAACCCAGTTTTCCTAGATAATGTGTATCAATGCAGGCCATCTCTGATGGGAGTCTCATTATTTTGTTTTGGTGGCAAAATATATGCACAGCATCTAAACATGTTAAAAACCAAAGACAAGACCAGTGCTTATACTGTATAGTTAAAAGCAACAGTGCAAGAGAAGAAACATGCACAGCTTTAAAGAAATTTCAAAGATAACTGTACAAGACCTGGGAGAGGCCAATCCTTTATTTATTTATTTATTTATCTTGATATAGTATGAATTACCAACATTTCTCAGCAGTTTGGCTGGCTGGCTGGTCGGTTATGTGCCAGTTTACTTAATGGTAAACCACTAGTATTTTATACATAGTGTCTCAGGTTCACCTCCAGCTAAAAGAAGAAATGGCTGGTGATAGAAGAGATTTAGATTTCATTCACAAGGGACTCTTTAAGTCTAGTTTTTGTCCTATTTTTGGATTCTGACACCAGCCCTAAGTACCAACACTGCCTATATATATAAAGTTTATATATATATGTGTGTGTGTGTGTGTAAAATGTTTATAGATATAAATTTTGTGTGTGTGTGTGTATATATATATATATACACATATGTAAAATGTTCTTCGCAATTAGAGCTAGTATCAAGAGTTGTACTTTTGCCAATAAAATAAAGAGTCAAGTAGCATTTTAGAAACCAATGCATATATTGAAATAGGTATTAATGGACTACATTTCACTTTTATATTCATAAACCTGTATTATTAGGTATATGTACTTCCATAAGGAAGAGATTGAAAACATAAATATATAGTTATATCATTAACTGTTTGGCTGTCTAAATAGTCACTGGTAATGACTCGGACCTGTAGGGCAAGCAATAGAGGAGTTAAATTCTTTTGGTTCTTGACCAATGAAACTTTATTCAAGTGCCAATGAAATTTATAAGACTACAGCAACCTTTCTCACCCTTTTAACCTGGAGGAAACTTGAAATAATTTTCAGGTCTCAGAGAACTCTTGCACAAAAACTGCAAAAACTACAGAAACTTCGCAATACAATTCACTCAGTAAGAGGTTGATTGCATCTTCTGTTATTAAGAATGTTGTTATGATGATGATGATGATGATGATGATGATTAATATCACATTACAGCCTGATTCATGTAACTCATTAAAGTAATTATCTAGTTAGTTTATAGCTTAGCATGTGTAGACATAGCCAATTGTGATTTATTCAATAACAGTTAAATCAGTCATAACTTAACATGAAGTTCCTAACTTTCACATATCTCAAGGTACATATATGTTTCCTGCATTTTATTTTCTCATACACTCCTTTGAGATAGTCTTGAGATATATCATATATTAAATCAATGCTTGGCATAACTGGTTTGTTAAATATGATGATTGAGTAGGATTGTACAACTTGCTGAGTTATAAACCATAATTTGCAAAACATAGCAATTAGATTCACATGTCACATTAAGCCCAAAACTAAGCAAATCATACTATGATTTAGTATAATGTACAAATCTATCCAAATATTGTCTTAAGGTTATTCACTGAATAATGTGGCTGAATGGAGAGTTAACCCTAGGTCTTCTCAATCTAAGTTGAAACCATAACTACACAGCTGCTTTGCCATGCTCCCTTTCCATTATACCACCCTAAATCTGGCTTCCCAGATTATAGATCTGGAACAAATCTCTGCTCCATGCTGCTGCCCATACAGCTTTAATGTGCAGCATTCAAAGGTAGTTCCCTTGACTGAATTTCCACCCCCATCCAATGTCATCTACCATATTAAACGGCTCCTCCATAGATTCACACACAATAGTCTGGTTACTCCATGCTGCTGCTTTTTCCCCCCTTTTTTCTTTCCTGTTGTACTATTGACCAATTTTAAAAAAATCTTTGAAACTGCTGGTTGACTGGTTGACCTTACAACTACCAACTGGCTGCGAGAGTTTTTGTATGTCTTGACTGCCATCTACTGATCATCTGGATGTGTGCAGCTGAGATGCAGCCAATGGATAAGTGCTGCTGAACAGCTGGAAGTTGAGAAAAGATTGAGGTGACAGCTATAAACTACCCTAAGAAGGTAACAGAGAAGAAGAAACAAGCCAGAGCTTCCTGAGAGCAAATACAGGTAGTCCTCACCAACCACAATAGGGACCGGCAACTCCATCACTAAGCGGTGCAGTCATTAAGCACATTGTCACGTGACTATGCTGACTTATGACATTGGTTCTGGCTGCAATCATTAGGTGAATCACTGTGAGTCGTTAAGTGCAATGTCATGTGACCGTGACTTGCACCTTCCTGCCAGCTTCCCCATTTACCTTGCTTGTTGGAAACCAGCTGTGAAGGTCACAAATGGTGATCACATGACTGTGGGACACTGCCACAGCTGCAACTTTGAGGATGTCATGAGTCTCATTTTTCAGCACTCTTGTAATTTCGAACAGTTGCTGAATGAGTGGTTGGTGAGGACTACCTGTAGCCATTGGGAAGAGAATTCTCAATCACACAGGTTGTAGAAGTACAAGAGTAAAGACTTTTCAACTATATTTTGAATTACGTGTGTGAAGTCAGGCAAGGACTGGCCAATTTGAAGGCCTCACATTCTAGGTGAGAGTTTGCCAACCCCTTTAAAACATAAAAAGTGACTCTGGTAGTTGGAGTTCTGGTCTCCCTTGTAGCCATAAGAGGACTTGAAGGGCAGGCAAAGAGACCAGACTGAAGGGGGTGGTCACACAGGAAACAGATCTCATTGAAGTTATAAGGCTGCCAACAGAAAGCATGTCCAGTCAAGTTACTTCCCTGATGCACAATCAGTGATCTCTACATTGCCTGCGCATGGTGTCTTGGTGTGGGATATTACAAAAAACACCAACTGCTTTCAGAGTGTAGCACTTTAAGCCACCCTTGGGGTGTCTCAGTTGTATCTCAGGTGGGCAATACAGGTGTGGGTCATGAGGACAAGTGCTTGGGAAATCGTAATTGGGTCATCCAAGAACTCTGGTGAAGGAGGCTGGTTGGATTTGCTCCAACACTAACCATGACATTACTTTGTCTTTCAGATGAGAAGTAGAATGGACGACCATTGCACAGGCATCTAGACCTTCCGAACGAACACACACACACAAACCCCGCAAAAAGCAGTGGCAAAGCACTGCCTTATCACAGTAGGAAAATTGCCTAGATCAGACGGTGAAGATCACCAGGAGCCAAACTTGAAGGCATTTTTACTTACTTTTCTTACAGGCTTCAAGCATCAGATGTCATTATATGACTGACCATTAAAGAACTCCAGGTGCTTGTGCCTTCTACATTCCTTTCTTTCTCCTGGAAAGGTCTCTACTGTGTCATTCCTACTTAAGCTCTCTGTTGCATCTTACTGCCACCTAGCGGTTGATGTTATTTAAGGCGCTCCAAGGAAAAAAAACCTAATAATCTCCTCCTTTA